TTTAGAAGCTCTTTACACAAGATTTGGCATGGTATATGTTGGATAATGTGCAAAACTTGAATCTGCAAGTTTCTTGTAAGTAGGATCATAAAATGCCTGCATTGGCCTCCTTTTATGGAAGATTGCCTAATTTGAAGACCCTGACCATGAGATGCATTGATCGACCTCCCCCTGGTTATGATAAGGTAACAACATTAATATTCAATAGTTGTTTTTTATTCTTGGTCGACCCTTTTTGGTCGATTAAACAATGTCAACATCACCAATTTGTCCTGGAATGTTTAACCATTTCAGATATGAGACCTTACATATTGGACTCATATATCATTGATATTCTTTTTCTCTCTTTCTCTCGTCCTTCCATTTATCCACATCCTTCTTTTATATTTCGCTTCACAATTGTTGCTAGGATTTTAACACGTGTAGATATAGAATTAAACTAAATTTATTGATCATTACATATAATTCAATTAAGATATTGTATGAAAGTATGATTTCTTCTATTCTCCTTTGAGAAATGGAGGATTTTTGACTGGGTGAGTTCAAAGAAAAAGAAAGATTTTTTGGTCTACCTTATTTTACTTTATTTTTCTTTATATCAATAACTCAAGCAAAATGCAATTATCTCCAAGAACAAAATGTCTGTTATGCTTAATATCTTTAGTTTGATCTGTATCTGTCTTAATTCTGCCCTTTATTCGAGTAGTTTTTTCATCGCCAAATTGCCCGAGTCCTATGCTTTTTTGAATCCAATCGTGAATGTTATGCCAGTCATACCTATGCTCTTCTTTCTCTTAGCCTTTGTTTGGCAAGCTGCTGTAAGTTTTCGATGAGATCTTTTTTAATACTATCCTAGAAAATTCATGATTTATTCGAGGAAAAAATTCTAACAATTGATAAGATCAGATAAGTCTTACAATATGAACCCTCGATTCAAACATTGAAATTCTTGGAAAGCTGCGATAAATCTGGATCATCCCATTTCCCCATTATGACCTTTTTCCAGCGAAAGGCCCTAATAGGCTTAAGGTTCCCCACAATATTGAATTGTAGGTATGAAAGAAAATTTTTGTAATAAAAGACTCTTATTACAAATGACTTTGAATTTCTGAATATTCTTTTCTATTTGTAGAAAGTACTTCATTTCTTGGGGTCAAAATAGGATATGTGGTATAAAAATGGAGGATCTATTCTCTTTTTTTCCAAAAAATGATTTGGAGATTGTGTAATGCTTACTCTCAAACTCTTTGTTTACACAGTAGTGATATTCTTTGTTTCTCTTTTCATCTTTGGATTCCTATCTAATGATCCGGGACGTAATCCTGGACGTGAAGAATAAAAGAAAAAGGCTTTTCGTTTTCCTTACTTGATTTTTCAAATTTATTAGGATTTTATCTATTCCACGTTTAACCAAGGGTTGGGGAAATTTGAAAGATAAAGCAAATATCAAGTCATCAACGGAAAGAGAGGGATTCGAACCCTCGGTACGAATAACTCGTACAACGGATTAGCAATCCGACGCTTTAGTCCACTCAGCCATCTCTCCCAATTGAAAAAAAAAAGATAATTAATTACTATGTTACATTACACATAATGTACAAAGTAAGGTACATTACACATAAAGTAGTAAAAGTCTTTCTTTCTCTCTCTCTTTTCTCTCCCCTTATCTTTAGTATATAGATATATACAACTTTTATTAGTAATTCCATTTAGATAAAGTAAGGACTGGAAAAATCCAATATAAATAAAAATAAAGAAGACCTCCTTACTTTGATTTTGTCCGAAAGAGTTTATTCCCATGGCCTGGCCTGGTCAGTACCTAGCCGAGCCCTTTTTCCATTTTTATATTATAGAAAATAGAAAATCAAAGTGCTATTTCTTATTATACTTTCTTCCTTTTTTATTTACTTTCTTTTTTACTTCACTGAAATAAAGAAAAAGGGGAAATTGTGGATTCTTACACAATGCATTTTTATGTTAGGATTTCCGCGGTTTTGCCAGCCGTATCTATCAAAAAAACTCCGTTGGCAAAAGAAAAGAAAAAACTTGTGTTATTTTGTTATTTAAATGAACCCTCTTTTCCTAATCTTCCCCCACGAAAAACGGCAACACTCTCATTTTCATGATTCTTTTATGATCCTATCTTTCTTAATTACGTTCAATTCCCTTGTTCGACAAAAATTCCATTTGTATACAATAATCGGATTGTAGCGGGTATAGTTTAGTGGTAAAAGTGTGATTCGTTCTATTAACCCCCTTAATAGTTAAGGGGTCCTTTGGTTTGATTCCTATTCCGATCAAAAACTTTATTTCTTAAAAGGATTTAATCCTTTACCTCTCAATAAAAGATTCGAGGAAAAATCTAAATTCTCATAATTTGTATTCAAGGATCCATTAAAAATGGAAAAATTGGATTATGAAATTTCGAAACATAATTTTTGAATTGGATCAATACTTCCAATTGAATGAGTATAAGGAAAGGATCCATGGATGAAGATAGAAAAGTAGATTTCGAATCGTAACTAAATCTTCAATTTTTCTTTACAAATCAAAAATTGAAGCAAAATCACTATTAAACGATGACTTTGGTTTACTAGAGACATCGACATATTGTTTTAGCTCGTTGGAGAAACAAAATCCTTTTCCTCAAGATTCTTTCAAATAGAAATAGAGAACGAAGTAACTAGAAAGATTGTTATAATCCCCTTCTTCTAGAGGGATCAGCTAGAAAGCAAATCGTTTTGAATGTATTCAAACAAAAAGCTGACATAGATGTTATGAGTCCAATTTTTTTTGTAATTTCATTCTCATCTCGTCCATTCTTTTTCTGTTCAATCAGAACAAAAATAAAAATGAGTAATTCGAATTCTTAATTCTACAAGGTTGAATAAAAAAAATTCAATTGACCATTTGATATAATTGCTATGCTTAGTGTGTGACTCGTTAATTTTTTTTCGGGTTAGGATTAAAAAAAAAAGACCAGCCCATAGTATGAACTAATAATTATAGAACTAATAACCAACTCATCACTTCGCATTATCTGGATCTAAAGAACCAGTCAAGATATGATATATCAATCATATCATTGTAGCAACTGAATCTTTTTTGCATAAACAAAATAAAAATCAACCTGATTCTAAATTGTGAAGCGAAATATAAAAGAAGGATGTGGATAAATGGAAGGACAAGAGAAAGAGAGAAAAAGAATATCAATGATATATGAGTCCAATATGTAAGGTCTATGAATTATCTCATAAAAGAGAAATATCAGCAGGAATACAACAACATATTGGACCTGAATACGCCGGCCCTTTGGGAATTCTTCAAGCTCTAGCAGATGGGACAAAATTACTTTTCAAAGAGAACCTTCTTCCATCTAGAGGAGATCCTCGTTTATTCAGTATCGGACCATCCATAGCAGTTATATCAATTTTACTAAGTTATTTAGTAATTCCTTTTGGCTATCGCCTTGTTCTAGCCGATCTCAGTATTGGTGTTTTTTTATGGATTGCTATTTCAAGCATTGCTCCTGTTGGACTTCTTATGTCAAGATATGGATCAAATAATAAATATTCCTTTTTAGGTGGTCTGCGAGCTGTTGCTCAATCAATTAGTTATGAAATACCATTAACTTTATGTGTGTTATCAATATCTCTACGTGTGATTCGTTGAGACAAAAACTTTCCCTATTTCCTTGCTTTATAGGAAAGAAGTTAAATGCGTTGAATACATATTTTCATATTTTTTATTCAACATTTGGGTTGATGAATGAAACCAGATAGTTATATGAGCGAGAAAAACAACTTTTAAATTCGCAGTAAAAAGATTGAGTCTCATTTCCTATGTACAAGAGTTAAGTGAAAGTAAACATAAACAGTAGAGGCTGCTTACCCCAAGATTGGTTGATTAGTCATCATGTCTTGAAGCGGGTTCAAAAGATCAACTGGATGGGGTTTTTATTATTTATTATCAGACATGTATTAATATAATGGGGGATTGGGCAAAAATGAGTGGATGGTTAGGAACACCAAGGTACACAAAGGATTAGTAATAGAGATTATGTAAGTTATCCAACAGGATATTTCTGCATAAAAGGAATTCTAATTGGGACTTTAAGTTGGTAGAAACGATCAAGCAGTACTCTCTATGATTTCGATCCAGAGTATGCTCCTATCCACCGATTCGGTAAATAACTATCAGGAACGAAGTAATCCTCTATTTATTTTTTTTGAAAGCCCCCCTTTTCTGAGAAAGGAGAATAGGAACGAAAAATAAATAAAATAGAAAAAAGGAAAAATCTTTTTTTATTCATTCTTTCCTATATACATATTTAGAGAGACGGGCTTTTTATCATGATTCATGAACTAATGTAATGTCTAATTCTTTTTCGTAATTGAAAATGGTAGGTTGAAATATGTATGGATATTGCTACAAAAAGTATTTTATTGAAAGATTAAGTTATTACTCATACACAACAAAAAAAGAAAAATTATTAAAAGATGAGATCAATTCAGAAGCACTTTTTTTATTTATTATACATAGAGCAGACAGAATTCCATTGGTCTAATTCGGGACCTTACAATAGATTTTGACTCTATCTATCCTACAAACATATCAAGATAAATAATATTGAATGCGTCCTTAAATTTATTTGTGACCCTCGAGGAGCCGTATGAGGTGAAAATCTCATGTACGGTTCTGTAATAGCGATGGAAACAGTGATGTTATCACCGACTATGATTATCTAACAGTTCAAGTACAGTTGATATAGTTGAAGCACAGTCAAAATATGGGTTTTGGGGATGGAATTTGTGGCGTCAACCTATAGGGTTTATCATTTTTCTAATTTCTTCCCTAGCGGAATGTGAAAGATTACCTTTTGATTTACCAGAAGCGGAAGAGGAGTTAGTAGCGGGTTATCAAACCGAATACTCAGGTATCAAATTTGGTTTGTTTTACGCTGCTTCCTATCTAAATCGACTAGTTTCTTCATTATTTGTAACAGTTCTTTACTTGGGCGGTTGAATCTTTCTATTCCGTACATACTCGTTCCTGAGCTTTTTGAAATAAATAAAGCGGGTATAGTCTTTGGAACAATAATTAGCATCTTTATTACATTAGCTAAAACTTATTTGTTCTTGTTCATTTCTATCACAACAAGATGGACTTTACCGAGGCTGAGAATGGACCAACTATTAAATCTTGGATGGAAATTTCTTTTACCTATTTCTCTAGGTAATCTATTATTAACAACTTCTTCCCAACTTATGTCACTGTAAAGGAATACGATATTCACGACTTGTCTCAAACAAGAGAAAGAAACAGGCATAAAATTTTTTATAGATGTTCGCAATATGTTCCCTATGGTAATTGGGTTCATGAATTATAGTCAACAAACAATACGGGCTGCAAGATACATTGGTCAAAGTTTCATGATTACCTTATCCCATGCGAATCGTTTACCCGTAACTATTCAATACTCCTATGAAAAATTAATCACATCGGAGCGTTTCCGCGGCCGAATCCACTTTGAATTTGATAAATGCATTGCTTGTGAAATATGTGTTCGCGTATGTCCTATAGATCTACCTGTTGTTGATTGGAAATTGGAAACGGATATTCGAAAGAAACGATTGCTTAATTACAGTATTGATTTCGGAATCTGTATATTTTGTGGTAATTGCGTTGAGTATTGTCCAACAAATTGTTTATCGATGACTGAAGAATATGAACTTTCTACGTATGATCGTCACGAATTAAATTATAATCAAATTGCTTTGGGTCGTTTACCAATATCGGTAATTGACGATTCCACGGTTCGAACAATTTGGAATTCGCCTCAAATAAAAAATGACTAAACCCCTTGATTCAAGAGCAATTCCCAATTACTAAGGTTAAGTTTTGATCTAAACGAATACGGTTTTTGTTTGGTCAATAACTAAAAATCCAAACTATTGATTAGTTGGTGAGAACCGCGGCTCAATTTGGATAGAAAATCTATTTCTATATTTTATTCCATATTCGTAATGATTTCAAAATATATAGTTTCAAACTATCCTTTCAGATAAAGAATGAGATTTCTGTACCTAATACGCACTCATTAAGATTGAATTCAATTAACAATTAAGAAATCTCATAAAAAAATATAGAGTCACCTTTTTCCTGGTCAGGTCAATAAAGTCATGAAATATTTCGATTTATTTATTTCTTATTTTACATAGAATGGATTTACCTGGACCAATACATGATTTTCTTTTAGTTTTTCTGGGATTGGGTATTATATTGGGAGGTCTGGGAGTAGTATTACTTAACAATACAATTTTTTCCGCCTTTCATTGGGATTGGTTCTTGTTTGTATCTCCCTATTCTATATTCTATCTAATTCCCATTTTGTAGCCGCTGCGCAACTTCTTATTTACGTAGGAGCTATAAATATTTTAATCATATTTGCTGTGATATTCATGAATGGTTCAGAATATCACAAAGATTTTTGTCTTTGGACCGTTGGGGATGGGGTTACTTCGATGGTTTGTACAAGTATTTTTGTTTCACTAATTACTACTATTCTAGATACGTTATGGTACGGGATTATTTGGACTACAAGATCAAACTAGATTCTAGAACAAGATTTGATAAATAATAGTCAACAAATTGGGATTCATTTATCAACAGATTTTTTTCTTCCATTTGAACTCATTTCAATAATTCTTTTAGTTGCTTTAATAGGCGCAATTGCTGTAGCCCGTCAATAATAAATTTTTAAAACTAAGAATCAAAATCCAATTTTGTTCTAGGTTATCACATTTATTTCCCTTCAATTCTATTTGAATTCGTGTATAAAATAGAAATGCTTTTAGTTTGATCTATTACTAATATATTCATTCCATACTTGTTATATTCGAGTCAATCGAATCGGTTGAATTGTTGTTCATATTGAAATAAATCGAGATCAATAAGGAGTTGGTTAATGATGCTCGAACATGTCCTTATTTTGAGTGCCTATTTATTTTCTATCGGTATCTATGGATTGATTACAAGTCGAAATATGGTTAGAGCCCTTATGTGTCTTGAACTTATATTGAATGCAGTTAATATAAATTTTGTAACATTTTTCTGATTTTTTTGATAGTCGTCAATTAAAAGGAACCATTTTTGCAATTTTTGTTATAGCTATTGCAGCCGCTGAAGCAACTATTGGACTGGCTATTGTTTCGTCAATTTATCGTAATCGAAAATCAACTCGTATCAACCAATCGAATTTGTTGAATAAGTAAAGGGATACCACAAGAATTCTTATTAAATGAGAGAGAAATAACCATTTCAGATATGAGGATCGATGGAGTCAAATGTGTTGGCAGAGAGACTATCTCAAACCCGGTCTCTACAAGCTTGTATTGCAATCTCTGTCGAACATGTGACACATTATAATAAGTACTATTCATAATTAAATTATTTTTTAATTTATTTTGTAACAATATTTTTTAAACATTTTTATTATTTTTTAATTTATTTTGTAACAATATTTTTTAAACATTTTTATTGTTAATTTTACAGTAATATCCTTTAATAATATAATATATATTTGATAATATCAACTTTATTAAGAAATAAGTCATTATAACAAATAAAAAGAATATATTCAGATATAGTTTTAAAAGTTACAAATTCTAATTCTCTACTTACCTAAAATAAAAATGCTTTTAAACAATCTCAAACGCGGGCTCCTAGTCCTAGAAGGACTCTTCTATGATTGTACTCCATAAATAAGCTTTAACACCAAAAAAGAAAAAAGCAATTGGGAGCAGTCTTCTCTTCAAATCCAATAGAGAAGTTGCTCATGGCATTCTCTCCTTCCTTACCATCAAAGAAATTCGCAAGAACATCAAACAAATTCGCAAAAATGCGTACCTCGAATCCTGAAGGTTGTGGAGGGACTTGTGATAGATTCAGCAGTCTTTCTGATGAAGTTGCTCATGAAATTCTCTCCTTCCTTACCATCGAAGAAATTGCTCGTATAAGTGTGGTCTCCAAAAGATTCAGACGGCTCTCTCTCTCTGCCCCATATTTGTTCCTTAATTTTTCATGCACCAAAATATCGAAAGTGGGTAATACTCTGCTTAATACAGATAGGTTTGTTAGTCTGCTTGATGGGACGACGAAATTGCGACGTTTTGTTCTTAAGAATGTTTTTCTCTACTCGGAGGATATTATTCAGGTATGCAACTGGACTCGTGAAGCCGCAGAGATCGATTTATCATTTGTAATGTTCGACAAAGATTGTTTTTCTCTACAACCATCCACCTTCGTGAGAGCCATCAAATTGAGACTTCACGGCGGCAATCTCAAACTGCCCTCTTTTACCACTTCTTTTAGTTCGCTCCAGGTTTTGGACATAAAAAGTATAAAACTTCCCAACAACTTGCCTGACAAATGGGTTTCATCTCTCTTCCCCGTAATTAAAAAGTTAATTCTGGAAGACGTAGAAGATATAAAAGATCTTAATATCTCGAGTTCGTCTCTCGAATTTCTAAGCATAAACAGGTGTACCCTTCGCAGAGTCGTTGTGCTTGCCCAGAGACTCCAGACCCTATGTGTGGGGTCGTGCAACTTACTTCGCTATTGGTTATTTAAAATTTATGCACCCAGCCTTCAAAATATCAGTTGGACTGCAAATAGTTACTCCTTCCAGGGAGGCTTTGTGTGCTTAAAAGATTCATATCATGCGAACATAGATGCTCCAAGGATTAAGCTTCTTCAATTTATAAACAATGCCAAATCAGTTACAGTAGGAGCCAATATTCTTCAGGTATTAGCTCCCAATCTTATTACTATTTTTACAATTGCTTAATTATATACACACATATTTTTCTTCTACACCAGTTAACTCTAATTGCTGTGCTATTTTAGGTGCTATTAGCAGAAGATTTGATAGGGCATTCGTTGGATAATGTGCAAAACTTGGATATGCAAGTTTCTTGTAAGGAAAATTATAGAGTGCCTGCACTGGCCTTCTTGTTTGGAAGATTGCATAATTTGAAGACCCTGACCATCAGATGCATTGATAGAGAGACTTTTGGTTGTGATGGGGTAATATTATATTATTCAATAGTTAGTTATTATTTACTTTATTTCTTGTTTGCCTCATTTTTTTTGTCTTTGATATCATTACTCATTTATTTTTGTTGTCTTTGATATCATTTACTTTTCATGTTTCAGTCAAAAGTATTGTTGGCTCTAGAGACGCGTGATTTTAATATCGATATGGAGTATTGGAAGTCTCAAGATGTTGCATTTATCCATCAATTGAAGGAAGTGAAGATTGAGATTCGTAAATGGGGATGTGAAGTTGGACTCGTAAAATATTTGATCAAGCATGCAAAAGCACTAGACAAGATGATTGTCACTTTTTCAAGCAATATTGATACTAGTATAAAGAGGTTGATCTGCAAAAAGCTATTAGAATTTTACAAGGCATCTCCTATTGCCACATTAGATTTTGTGTTGAAATGAAGTTGTTAAATCTAATTTTTATGTCTTTGATACTTATATTTTCATGGAGTAAGAATTTCAAGATATTATGCGAACTTAAGTTTACACTTTGTATTATGACGAATCCTCAACTAAATTGGACTCGATATAATTTGACATTTAATAGAACTATTATATTAGCTTATGTTATTTTCCATCATGCTACAATGTCGGTCTTATAACTAAGTTTTCAGTCACTGTTTATATTTAATTTATTTTTTGATGATTGCTTCTGTGCACAAGAAAAACAAGGAGCATAAGGACTCAGGAGTCAGGATCGATTCTTTCTAGGTGCAAACAATTTCTTTGGGGCTAAAACCATGAACATAGTCCGAGCTTAACCCGATTTATCGGGGCCTTGCACGAGTCCCTTAAATTAGTCGTGCACGAGTCCCTTAAATTAGTCGGGCAAAGTATCAGACATCCGGTTATCGAACAAATAGGAAGAAATTATCTGGCAAATTTTGTCTACGTAGATTATGGCAAACAAAGGATTTTGACAAAGATGCAATTATGTGCATTTGCTCGCAGAATCAACGAGACAATTTATGGAAAATTTTGAACATCGCCGTGTTGATCAAATTGATGACTTGTTCAGATTTGCATCCCAATTGAATTTTCTGGTGATTTTGAAACATATTGAAACTTATCAATTATATTATCTTTCATGCACTTCATCACCCTAAACTTATATGTCAGCATAGAACATAGGTAAATTACACTTCTGAGCTTCTACGTTTTGGTGATGGCTAGGTCGAATGCAAAAATAGTGGAGCTAGACTTCACATATCAAGATTTTTATTATAATGTCCCAGATGTTTTCCGGATTTTTCCGTAATTTTTTTTATTTATTTTTCGTGCCTCATTAGGGACATTTTCATGAACTCGGGAGTTCGTGAATGCTTTTTTATTCTTTTATACATGTTAGAATTTATGGAATCGTTTTTAAATTTTTCAAGGGTCGGGACCGATGATGTGCTTGGGAATTTTTTCCTGATTTTTCATTAATATTATAGATATAGGGCAACGTGAGGACAACACCCTTCATGTTTTACTTTTGGGCAAATAAAATGAGCAAAGAATGGCGTATGTTGTGTATATAAGTTCCTTAAGTTTGAAAAATGAGCAAAAGGGAGTTTAAAGTACTATTAAGATATAAAAATCCAAAAACATATTTATTTCTTTCGATAATGCCCTTATAAGGGCAAAGTGAGAAAAGCACTCATAATGTTTACATTTTGGGCAAATAACACTTCTATTCTTTATTTTAAGTATATAAGTACATTAAATTTGAAAAAATGTAGCAAAAAGGGTTTGACTTTTGAGGCCATTGTTTTGTTAAAAATTTAATCATGTGCATTGCATATAACATTTTTAAGATATAAAATTTTAAAAGATACAATGGTCTCTTCCGATAATGCTCTTATATATTTATATGAATATATATATATACACTTGTCACATTTAATTAGTTTTTTTTTACCTATTTTTTATTAAGTTGTTGAGGGATGTTTTAGTCTTTTCAATATTCAAGTCCTTGTTTGACCAAAATTGAATGTTAATTAAGGACGTTTTAGAACAGATAGGGGTTATATACTCTATATGCGTACAATTAAGGGTATTTTTTGCCCCCAACCCTATATTATATATATATAAAGATGGACAATTTAGTTATTTTAAATTTAATTAGTTTTTTTTACCTATTTTTTGTTATGAGTAATGATAGGAGAACCGAAAAGAAATTCCCGAATTAATATCGAATTTGAGCTATACTTATCAGGTTTTAAACAATTATTTTTAGAAACTGTTTAAGTAAATGAGGTGGACAAAAACACGTCAAATTTGAGACTTATCATTCGAGGAAATCATTCAGTGACCCTATCATTTTCCTTTTTTTATTAAGAGTTTTTGTTTGTTTATTCATATATGAAAGATTAGGGTTATGATTAGGGGTTAAGTCTTTGCATAAACTCCCAGAATGCTTACCTCATGGAATAAGAGAGAGACTTTTGATAGATTCAGCAATATTCCTGATGACGTTGTTCATGAAATTCTCTGCTTCCTTCCCATCAAAGACATCGCTCGTAGCAGTCTCGTCTCCAAAAGATTCAGACAGCTCTGTCTCTCTGTCCCAGATTTGTTTCTTGATTTGATACCCCACAATCGATCGAAAGTGAGTAATTGGATAGATAGGTTTCTCACTCTGCGTAATGGGGCGAAATTGCGACGTTTTGTTCTTAAGGATGCTTGTCTCAACCATGAGGGTATTATTCGTGTATGCAAATGGATTTGTAAAGCAGAAGAGCTCGATCTATCATTTGGAATGTATGCAGAACAATGCTTTCTTCTACCACCATTCACCTTTGTAAGAGCGATCAAATTGAATATTCTTTCAAACGGTGGCATTCTCGAACTGCCCTCCTCTACCAGCAACAGTTTCAGTTTGCTCCAGGATTTGGACATAAGAGGCATAAGACTCGATCCTCACAACTTATCTGAGGATTGGGTTTCATCTCTCTTCCCTGCAATTAAAAAGTTAAATCTGGAAGAGGTAAGAGATATAAAATATCTCAATATCACAAGCTCCTCTCTTGAATGTTTAAGCATAAAGACCTGTCACCTTCACAGAGTTGTTGTGTCCGCCGAGAGACTCCACACCCTATGTGTGGTGTCATGTCACGCCGGTGGTGATTGGTTATTTAAAATTTACGCACCCAACCTTCAAAATATCAGATGGACTGCAGATGGTTACTCCTTCAATGGAAGCTTTATGTGCCTAAAAGGTGTGAACATTGATGCTCCAAGGCTTGAGCTTCTTCAATTTATAAACCATGCCAAATCAGTTACATTACGAGCCAATATTCTTAAGGTAAAGCTCATTATTGGGCAACTAATTAATGGTTAATTATCAGTTTTTTTTTTCTTCTTTTATTTATATCAACACACAATTACTTTATAATATTTATTAATATTAGTTAGTTGCGATCCTATTTTAGGAGCTGTTTATACAAGACTCACTACCATATACTATGTTGGATAATGTGCAAAACTTGAATCTGCAAGTTTCTTGTAAGATGGATCATAAAATGCCTGCATTGGCCTCCTTTTTTGGAAGATTGCCTAATTTGAATACCCTGACCATGAGATGCATTGATCGAGAGACTTTTGGTTGTGATGGGGTAATATTACCATTCAATCATTATTCTTTCCTTTATTTATTTGCTTTATTTCTTGTTTGCATCATTTTTTTTGTCTTTGATATCATTGCTTTTCATGTTTCAGTCGAACAACTTTGATTTTGATATAGAGTATTGGGAGTCTCAAGATGTTGCATTTATTCATCAATTAAAGGAAGTGAAGATTGAGATTCGTAAATGGGAATGTGAAGTAGGACTCATAAAATATTTGATCAAGCATGCAAAGGTGCTAGACACGATGACAATCACATTCTCAAGCAAAATTCATCCTAGTAGATCAAGGTCCATTCGCGAAAAGTTATCAAAATTCTATGAGAGTTTTCCGATTGCAACATTAGATTTTGTGTTGAAATGAAACTGGTAACAAATTATTTTTATGTCTTTAATACTTTTATTTCCATAAAGTTAGAATTTCGAGATATTATGAGAACTTAAGTTTACACATTGTATTGCTCAACTAAATTGGACTCATATTATTTGAGATCTAATAGAACTAATATATTAGCTTATGTCAATTTTCATCATGCTACTACGTATCCATTCACTTATTGTCCGTCACTTGGCATCCTACTTATTCTACGAAAAAGAAGGAATTGCCATTTACAATTCACAGTACGCCGAAGCTTCAAAACTTCATGTGGAGAGGACAACAGGCTGCAAACTACTGCTTCCTAGGGAGTTTTATGATCTACAGAGTGCCACTATTGGTGATACATCGGATTTTGAATCAAGTCCCAATTACAAAAGTTTATTATTTCAGCTTCTTCCATTTGTCAGCCAAGTCGATCAAATCTCTAACACTAGAGACCTGGATATTCTTGAGGTAATTATCATGCTATTAATAATTTACATACAGTAATATATAATTAATTTTCAGCCAATTCAATGCTTGCAAACTTAGCTTTATCAATTTGTGCCTTTGACTACATGAATCTCATGATCAATTGAAGTGGAGTTTTTTCACTAACTAATGTGTCTCGTTGCCTGAAAATATTTCCAGGAGCTGTTTAAATTAACAAGATAATCTACCTTATATGGTGAATGTGTGTTGTATATACAAGCTTTTTGTAAAAAGCATCATAAAGTGCACTGGCCTTCTTTTTGGCAAGCTTTGTAAGATATTTTCTTATATTTGTAACCCACATGATTTAGACAAGTAATTTATATCTAATATTTGGTGGCTAAGTAAATTGATATCATACTGATATTTTATTATTTAGTCAATTTATAAATTACTTTTTTATATTTAATTATTAAAAAAGTGTTTTTCTATTTGTTCCTTACTTTGATTGAAAGTGAAATTGGTTTTAGTAAAAAAAACTAATGAAACAACGCGTATAATGTTTATGTACTTAAAAGGCTAAGAGCACATTTGGTTGGTTTGCTATCATGGATCGAGGTATTTATATTTATATGTATATATTTTTTTTTATGCATTATAGACATGTGAAATAATGAAGTTCAATTTTCTAAAATTATGATTTGTGTTTAATATTCTAGCACAAATATTAATATTTGACACGTAATAATAATAGTTTAGAAGATTGCCTGATTTGAAAACGCAGAGTGTGAACATTCATTCACCATTCCAAGTAAGAAACGCAATCATTATGTATCAACTATTCAATAACTTTTATTCTTCTTCCCTTTTTATTAATTTTCTCAACTTATTTGTTTTAAACATCATTTTTTTTCTTGTTACAGTCAAAAGACCATAATACTTGATTTAGAGTACTGGGAATATCAAGATCTGGAATTTATTAATCTGTTGAAAACAGCAAAGACTGAGATTACAAAAACCACTGTAGAAGCTAGAAAAGAGTTTCAATGAAATGATCCACAAAAACCAGAGAGTTGTTGTTTCCCTCAACTTCCACCACAACCATTACACATGCATGGATTTTAATGTTTCTGATCACTCTCATCAAACAATCCAGCTGATCTGGCATTTGGAATCAATGTCCTCAGAAAATATTGGGAGTAGACAGCAACTATTTCCTCAGCCTCTAGCTCAAAAATATTTTCATTGAGATCTAGCATGTCTGATATTATAACTATATTCAATGAAAAGGGCAAGTTCAAGGTTTGGGCAAAACTCACCAACCGCTTACCTGTTTCCTCAAGTTTTGGTTTCGATTTTGTTCCAACAGCAGTTATCTTGAGAAGCTCAACAGGGCACTCATGTCTCCTCGAGTTTTGGTTTTGATTTGTTCCAAAAAAAAAAAAAAACTAAATAAAATTCAAGTTTTATACTATTAAAATTTTTTAAAGAAATGCTAATTGCAGTCGGGACTGTGATCCTCCTGTCAGTTTGTGTGTGTGTGTGTGTGTGTGTCTATATATATATATATATATATATATATATATATATATATCTTTCTTTTTTCTTTCTTTCTTTTTTTTTTAATTATCTTTCTAAACTGATTCATTCTTTACTTTTTTTCAAAACCAATAAGTTATTTTCTGTTATCATTTATAATTATCTATTACTCATCAAACCATTTTACCTCTAAAGTGTGCCTATCTCATCATCAATATACTTCTAACTTACTATTTACTAAATCATTCACTTTTATCATTTACAAACAACAAAAACTTAATTATACAATTTAACTTCAACTAAAATTGAATAAGTGTGATTATCCCATCACCACTATACTTCTCTCTTCCTTTGTCTTTACTAAACCATTTGCTTTTATCTTTTACAAATAAAATAAAACTCAATTATACAATTTTACTTCAAAAAAAATTTAATTTTATAATTTACTTCAATTAAAATTCATATATAAAGTATAAATAAATAATATTTAATATATGTAAAAATAAAAATAAAAAAATAATAAAAATAAAAAGAAGAAGAAGACGAAGGAAAGAATGAATCCATTTAAAGACCATTCAAAAAAAAAAAAAAAATTGAAATAATGCATTGACAAAAGATTAGCTATATATATATATACACACATGATGTTATATATGTTGGGATTTATATGCCCTGGTATAGCGAAATCCTATTTGGATTAAAGTGACATATGTTCCTGACGTATTTGAAATATTTATACTTTATACAATTGATTAATTCAATGTATTATGTTTCGATTTATTATGAAATTAATAGTGTCCACTTGATTACAAGAGATATTTATATATATATGTGATGGCGATCAATACATGAATATAAATAGTAATCATAAATTGTTCGTAGTCGGTAATTATGAGTGGACTCATAATTAATTAAGACTTGAACTGGATCCGCATTAGATTGAGATATATTGCGAGAGCCGTCGTATACAATTGCTCTCTATCACTGTCGTGGCATTTGACTCTTAAGTATGAGAGAAGTATAGACTTTTTTATTAATTAATAATTACTTTGATTTGTTCGGCGGATACTTCGGGATTCTTAAACTAACACTTTGGGTAGTTATGTAATTACTAGTTAGAGGGTTATATTCTCGTTATTTGCATCAATGCTACTTGTATTTATTTTGTATTGATTATGGTTGATCACAAATTAAATTCGAAGGCCTTCGTGTATTTTTAGACAAAATGATTTATTATATATTTATTTATTTAAATTATTATTTTTGTCAAACAAATGTTTTATTGTGATCAAGTCAGAAATAATCAAAAGTACCAAAATAAATATATTAATTAAGTAGTCGGATTTATTCAATAACTAATTATGCATAGAGGGGTCAAAGTGCAACATTGACTTAGAGGTTATTTATTATTTAATTGAAGTTCAATTAATTTCTTTTAGCGGAGTAGAAATTAATTTATGAATTAATTGAATTGGGTACATGGATCGGGCCAATTATTAATTTATTGTAGCCAATAAAATAATAAGCCCAAAGGAATCTCACTCATAGCCCAACTTGATATTGGAATCCTATTAAATTTGAGACATGTGAATTAGAGATTGAGAAGAATTTATTATTTTATTTTCTTATCTTTATGTTGCCTATATATATATGGTCTATGTATATTTTAGGAGAGACTTTTGGAAGGAAAAAAAGAATATATATTTTCTCTCTTTAAAATTCTAGGGTTGATGTTCTCATCTAATGGAGGCTCCCACAAGCCTAATTTTCCGAGGTCATTCATGGAGGCTTATGAGTGATTCCTAAAGGTAAGACCATTACTAAAAAGATGGAAATGTGATAATGAAATAATTTGGCAAAATTTATTAAATAGTTTTCCGACACCGTCTCACTAAAACGTAAATATCTTCTAGTAGGATGGGAATTTGATAATGAAATTGATACCATTGGAAAGAGAACGAAAAATCCTTGAATTTGAACTCAAGAATGATCCAATTTCGATTTAAGATGACTAAGTTATGACCATTTTAATTTTATGTCACAAACAGGCAAAATAATTAGCTGAGCTCAAACACTACTGTGAGCGCACCCACACTGGATTAGCTCACTTGAGCTCACACAAATGCACCCACACCAGATTAGCTCACTTGAGCTCACATTTATGCACCCACACCAGATCAATCTTCTGTTGACCAAACCTAATCCATGGTCCAGATTCACATGCGCACTCTTTTGTGTACACTGCAATGCACCGAATCATTCCACTTATATCTAAACTATTCCAATGGCCCAGATTAGTGGTATAACCTCTTACCATGCACCGTCCTACACCAGATTACTACCCTATTATTGGGCCCACCTTACAGACGCCGATTTTCAGTGTTGTAAATATATATATATATATATATATATATATATATTATATAAACTATCTATATAATTTTGCCAAATTAAGATAGAAAATAATTCTAGAATAATTCCAAAAAATATAAAACACATTCTAAAATTAATCTAAAAATTTTAGAAAATTACAAAAAAATTTCATAAATTCTAGAAACACTAATTAACCCTCTTGGGTCTAGATCCAGCAGATCGATTGATATAAACAAAATATACAACACATATATAAAATAATAAAAATCTAAAATTCCAAAAATAAAATATAATAATTCATATTTTAAAGATTCCGTTCTAACCATCATTTAATCAATAAATTTAATCTTAAATTTTAATACTCAAGGTGAAATCCTTATGAGTTCTAAGAGGAAAATTAGAGAAGAACTCGCTTGAAGGTTTTAAAACGAAACCGAAACTTTAAGCCTTGATTGCGTCTTCCAAATCCGATACCCTCTTTCTCTAATCCGGCCTCCTCTTTGTCGGCCTTCTCATTTTCTCTCTTTCTTATTTTTCTAACGTGTAAACTTTTAACCTAAAGTCTTATACATTAGAATCCAAATCCTATTTCTACTAGGACTTTCAAATAAAATAATAATTCTAAAATAATATATATCTATAAACATATATTATATTACAGATATATATATATATATACCTTTCATAATTAACCCATGAGTTAATTAAATCATATAGACCTATATATATCCATAAATATATATCTCTATATATATCTTTCCATAAAAATTATTAATTAATTATATTTATATATAATTATATATATATTTATAATTAATACAAAAATGATCATTTAAATAATTAAATAACCATAGTCCTTTATTAATATATAAGCCCAAAACCACATCTTTTGGTCTAGATTCCCTTAAGCTCAAATCCAATTAATTTAAATAAATCAAATAATTAAAAAAAACAACTTAAATAAAAAAACTAAAAACTAATTACACTAACCACATAAACAAAACAATAAATTACATAATTCGCCCTTTAAAAAAAAAAAACCGATTCATCATAATTTACTTAAGCTGTTGTGGGATAATTTGTTTTAACATATTGGTTAATTGCACTAATGACATGGCACAATTAACCAATAATTTTTCCTCCTTAACAACCAAAAAATATAGTTATTTTAATTACTTCTAATTACCTTTCAACCGTTTTTATTTAGCAATCCTCACCGACAGGAGGTGATCCGATTTTCATAATGGTAATCACAGTTCGCTAAAAAAGTGGCAGGGCGAATCCGAACTAGAACTGGACCCAATGGGCCAGGGCAATTTTTATTTATGTCATAAACTAGGGTTTGCAAAACAAGGTATCGAGAATCCGGAAAAGAGAATCGGGAAAAGCTGCCAAACCAATACTTCTTCTTCTTCTTCTTCTTCTTCTTCTTCTTCTTCGTCATGGATCCATTGAGCAGTCTTCCAGACGTTCTACTTCATGATATACTCTCCTGTCTTTCACTAAAAGACATCGTTCGTACCAGTGTCGTCTCCAAAAGATTTAGATATATTAGTATGTCTACTCCAGACTATCTACTTCTTGTTTTACTCCCCTGGCTTTCCCTGAAAGACATTGCTCGTATCAGTGCCGTCTCCAAAAGATTTAGAAATATCTGCACGTGTATTCCTGACCTTAATATTAGTTTGGGAGTCCACCCCCGCAGCCGAAAGTACCTACGTAATTGGATAGATAGGTTGCTCATTAATGGGGCAAGAGCACGAACAGCTCATAACCCCAAACAGCTCGATGTAACAATCAGCCGAGATACCGTATTTGCCCCTCCACGTACCAGATTTTGTTGTGGATATTTGTTTAAATTGATACTAATCGATGTTGGTCTCACACTGCCTCCAACATCTGATTACATTAGTAGTTTTGCATTCGGTTCAGTCGAGGTTTTGTGGATACAAGGAGTGTGTTTCAATCAGGACTTGCCTGATAATTGGATTTCATGTCTCTTCCCTCGTCTTAAGGAGTTGAATCTCCAAGGGGTGAAGGGAATCACCAATCTCAACATCACCACTTCGTCTCTTGAATGCCTAAGTGTGTCAAACTTCTGGTGTTCTGGATCTTTGACGAGATCAGAGTGTCTGCCGAGAGGCTCGTGACCTTGTCGGTCACTTGGCATCGTACATCCCCTAGGGATGAGTCTTACTTGAAGGAATTGTTGTCATTTACAATTTACAGTGCGCCTAAGCTTCAAAACTTCGTGTGGAGAGGACGGCAGGCTGCAAACTACTGCTTCCAAGGGAGTTTTACGCATCTACAGACTGCAACTATTAGTGCTACACGGGATTTTGAATCAACTCATCAGGTTTTAATAATTTTTGACTTTGACTAGATGAATCTTATGGTCAATTCAATTGGAGTTGTTTCACTAACTATTATTAAATTTTCAGGAGAAGTTTAAACAAAATAGTCTTCCTTGCATGGTGAATGTCAAAACTTGGATATACAAGGTGTTCGTAAAAGACATCAAAAAATACCTGCAATGGCCTTCTTTTCTAAAAGAGTGCCTAATCATGAAGAAGCGGAGTGTGAGATGCTTTCATTCAACATTCTAAGAAGTAAGGAGCACAATCATTATGTGTATTCAATATATATATATTGATTATCCTCGATCACTTTTTTTTTTTTTCTTAATTAACATCATTATGTTTCTTGTTTCAGTCAAAAGAGTTAATACTGGGAATCTGAAGATCTTGAATTCATTCATCAGTTGAAGGAAGCAGAGATTGATATTACAGAGGAACAATTTGAAATTGGACAAGTGAAATATTTAATAAAGCATGCAAAAGCATTAGAGAAGATGACAGTCTTTCGTGGAAATCGCCTTGTCAGATTAAGTAATTTCTTTTGAGTTGTTCAAGCAACAATATACTTTGTGTTAATTTAAATAAGATTCTGTTACAAATTTATAATCATTTTTGTTGTTTTGATGCTTGTTTATTGTTAAGTTTGGAATGTTAAGGCATGATTAGAAGGGGTGATATTGGTGCTCCAAAATAACCATCAAACAAAAATACAAAGAAGAAGCCCAGCCCACTAGCTTAGACAAATAACAGTCAGAAAAAACTGTCTGACTTCTATAATGATCATCAGTTGAAATTTAAAACGAGCACCAAGAAGAAGACCTGGATTGCATGATTCTCTCAAGGACCAAATTCTGAGATGATTTCTCATTTTGAAAGACACTGGCATTTCTTTCCATCCATATTTACTACAATTTCGATGCAAAGGCCATTTTTCGCATGCCCTTGAGATCAGTTTTGGCCTTCCAGTAGAGAGAGCACCAATGAATAAGAGCAAATGTGAAAATTACACTTGTGTTGCATTTGGGAGCACTGAATCCATGCCTTAAATGTCATAGGTAAATTTGAACTAAATTTCCTTCAACTTAAATTCAAGGCGCTAATTTGGTATTCCCAAACATAACATTAATGAGCTTCTATGTTTTGTTTTAGTCAAAACCATCAATATTTGATTTAAAGTACTGGAATCTCAAGATTTTGAATTTATTTATCAGTTAAAGGCAGCAAAGATTGAGATTACTAAGGAGGAATTTGAAATTGGATATTCGATAAAGCATGCAAATGCACTGCAGAAGATGACAGTCATTTCGTCACACGAGGTAATTGGAGACCGGTTGATCGTATTGCAGAAAAGTTGATTCGATTCAGCAGCACTACATTTTGTGTTAAAACGAGAAGCTGTTACAAGTTTAATTACTTTTTTGTGGTGTTAACTCCTTATATTTTGTTGAGTTGGAATTTGAAGGTGTTATTAGAACTTGAGTTTGTATCAAGGAATTAACATTCCCAATTAAATGGATCTATATATGGACACCCTGATAGATAAAAATAAATAGGTTTTAATATTATTATTCGTACTGCAATATTGCTGATTTGATATTATTATGTCCAATTTTCTTTTCAAGCACTTGCTAAATGTCTGTATTGGAGGGTTGAAACTAATGTAGTCATGAAATTATTAAAAGAAGAAATAATAACAGAAGTACAAAGTGGGAAGAGACTATCCCACAAAACTTGAGAAGATTGACAGTCATTTTATCAATGTAGACAGATTGTAGAAAATGTATTACGATTCAGTAAGAAAGAAGTGTCAAATTGAAGTTGTTACAAAGCTAATTGTGTCATTAAGACAAACATTTTTTTTAAGTTGGAATTTTAAGGTGTTATTAGAACTGTACAAAGAACCAGAAATGTTTCTGGTATTAGCTAAGCTGAGAACTTAATACAGAATTCAGAAAAAGAACAACAGCAAGTGAAAAATTCAAAACCTTGGCTCAGACTCGTCAAAGGAACTTCCAAGCAGAAATAGAGGATAGTGGTGTTCCCTTCCACCCCATAATTAGGCATTTTCCATCCATATCAAGTGTGCAAGAATTCCCACAATTCAAATTCTTGACCACGAGCTTCGCCTGATACAAGGATGATGTGCTCAGTTCTGTCTCTATAATCCCAAAGCGCACGAAGAATGCCCTCCAAACATTAATCTTCACATGCCGAATGTTCCTTTCCTTTCCTTCAGCTGCCACAATGTTCCGAATTCCATAACTAAAGTACATTGATTCAGTGATCATTCTATCTTGATCCTTCTGGTCCATACAGTCTCCAAGGCAATCAAAATATGCACTGAAATAGAAAAGAGTTTCAATGAAGCGGTCCACGAAAACTGGAGAGTTATGGTTTCCCTCAACTTCAGCAACCACCATTACACATGGATTAATGTTTCTGACCACTCGCATCAAACATTCCAGCTGATCTGGCTTTGGAATCAAGGTCCTTAGACAATATTGAGCATAGACAGCAACTACTTCTTCAGCTTCTAGCTCAAAAAGGTTTTCATTGAGATCAAGCATGTCTGATACCATAACTATATTGAAAGAAAAGGGCAAGTTCAAGGTTTGGGCAAAACTCACCAACTGCTTACCTGTTTCCTCGAGTTTTGGTTTCGATTTTGTTCCAACAGCAGTTATCTTGAGAAGCTCAACAGGGCATTCATGTCGTGCTGCTAGAGCCTGCATCAACACTGTACACTGCACTCCATTCCTGATTTCAATATCTATTAAATGAATTTTTTTGGCTTGGGTTATATTGTCTAAGATGGCTTGCATTCCAGTGAATTGACCAATCTGACAGAATGGCAAGGTTTCATGGCATGCAAGAGTGGCGGAATTCAAGCTCATCATGGCCTCTTCAATATCCACAGAAACGAGTCGTTTTGGTGTGATTCTTCCTGCTTCTCTATCAATCTTCTCTCGAAGAGCCTCAGCAAAATAGAAAACCACTCTTTGAACAGGACTTCCTGTATCAGAAGACGATTCATTGCACTTGTTGAGAAGTTTGAGAGCGCGATTAAATTGTTGCTGACCTGCTTTCTCAGCAGAAGCTAGGAGAAATTGGACAAGTTGCACATCTCTAGTCTCCTCAGCAGAGAGGCCAAACAGAGAACTACCAACAATCCTTTGGGAAGGGGATTGTATGAAGTTTTCTGCAGCTTGTCTCAAAATTGCTTCTGTTGATAATTTTTTACCTCCCAATTTAGTACACCTTGTGTCACAATTTGGAATGTTGATCTTTTCCCTGTTCAGTCGTCTGAATCCACTTCCATAGTTCTTGAGAATCCCAAGTGAGTCCAGTTGAAATGGTTGTGGCATTTCCTTCTGAGGGTCAACATGTTCTGAGTTATCGGTTTGGAGACTAATGAGCTTTTCAATTTCTTCCTGAGATGGTTGGAATGGGGAGAGGATATCAAAATACAAATCCTCCAAAAACCCAAAATCAGAACACAATTGAAGTTGATGTTCTTGTTGATGTTGGGATGATGTGAGTCCATCCTCAATTGTGTCTTCTTTATAGACCCCAGAGGTTGCAGAAAATGAATTACTGTCCCTTGACTCTGCGCAATCTTCTGTTACAAAGTTCCCTCCCTCCTTACTGTTGGAGCTCTTAGAAGGACTATAGTTATTCAGAACTCCAAAAAGATCAAATTGCTCAAAAGATGTCATTTCACTGATCAACTCAAAATTGAGATATCACAAGAGGTTGTTGGTTTTTCAGTTCTGAAGACTGAAACTCTAAACTCTACTGGTTCTAGAAATATAGAAATTCCACAAATTTACAAAATAAATAAATAAAAGAAAGGAAATTTTGGATTATCTTGTTACAAATTTCTTATTGGTAAAATATATATATATATATATGTACATCAAGTTTGATGGTGATGTCTTTTGATGTTATCGCGCAATGACTTTTATTTTAATATCATTTGAATTTACTTGCTACAAAACAAAACAAAACAAAATAAATAAATAAAAAATCAACCTAATGCAAAATTGATGTTTACACCACATCATCGGCTTGCATTTAGATGTAGCAATTCCAGATTTTAATAAAGCAAAAAATCCCGCTGATTATCGTACTACAAGAAACTTATTGAAAATCCCAACATTAGAAAATAATTTTGGAATTGATGTGTTCAATGGTATCAGTATCATACAGCCTCCACATTGCAAACAACGAAATGCCAAATTAAATAGCTGGCTAAAAACAACTTCCTATGTTACTTAGAAGATTTTTTTATATCACCACCCAAAACACAAGAATTGGATATTCCAAACAGATGCTGAATGACCACAATCAAGTAGAAGTTTTCTTGGTAATTTTTTTTTTTTTCTTTTAATTGGTGCTCATGCATGCATGTCTCCACTAAGATTCGAATTTCTGATCTCTTTTTAAGAAGTACGAATCTGATATCGCTAAGTTTCAGGCCTGTTGGTTCTTGATCATTTTTAAAACACAATTTTCTATAAAAAAAATCAGCAAATTAAATGGATTTATATTCCTTAAACCAAATAAAGCAGCAGTAAAGTCCCCATCAAATAAGCCTAAAACAATCCATTGACAATGGCTCCACTTTTATTATTTTATTTATTATTTTTTATTTTGGTGTCGTGGCAAGTTTGTCTATCTTTACTTGGTGGAGTTTTATAGGTAAATTAAGAAAGAAAAATGATATTTCAACCGAAGTATCTGACCAATTACTTTGGCAGAATCTACGTGGCCTATCCAACTAGGTCACTTCCATCTCTTTCCCTCTCATCTCTTCTCTCTCGTTAATTTTTTTTTCTCATTCTATTTCTCTGTCTAATATGTCACTTACCGGGAAAGAAGCAAGAAGTGGGTTGATCTGTTCTGAAGTTGGTTCGTGGATGCCGAAAACTACTTCCTTCTCTCTCTCTTTTTTCTTTATTTTTCTTATTATATTTCTCTCTCTAATATATATATATATATATATATATATATATATATATATATATATATGACATATGATATGAAGTTGCAACCATATTTTAAAAATCAAAAGTTGTTTCTTTCTTCAAGTTAAGATAGTAAGAAATATTGTTTGAAGAGACTAAAACCAAGAGAAAGAGATTTGATAACTATTAGAAGAGAAGAACTTAGTCTAGAACTTGACATTCTGAAAAGTTGAATCTGCCGACGCGTATATTATTTCTCCGTTTATTTTATTTATTTATTTTCTTTTTTTAATTATTAAATTTGCTTACCCGGACTGTCATGTATATTCGGCCAAACTAATCTACCAAAATCAGCAGCCTATCATTACGAAAAGGTATAGTGGTGGTACAGAACACTTAATAAATTAATGGACAAGAAAATTACGTCACAGATATGTACATATATATAGCAAACAATATAAATTAGATATAATAATAAGAAGGATGTTCGTCTTCACCTAGATACAACAAAATAAAACAAAGTCTGAAAAGGATAATTGAGAAGATAACAAGACGAAGCGAACAGGGAACTTCAAAGATGATTTGTTGTTTTTATGATATATATATATATATATATTGTCTTTATTTAAAGCTAGCTTTGAGCAGGACAGGCTTAATTACAAGGTTTTTGACTTTATATACATTGTATGAATGGAACCCATTCAATTTGGACGATAATTGGATGATTGGGAATTCCGCTTTAGCTTTTTCATTGTTTATACGGATATATCCAAATTAATGGACATTTAGTCGGCCCACAATTTTTCCGCCCGCTTCAAACTTAGGGTCCGTAAATGAATTGGGGTAAGCTCGGCTCGAAAATGGGCCTAAATTAAATTTTCGGAGTGACTTTAATCTAACTAGGCCCAATACACGATGATCATCCCATAAAGGTTTTATGATAGATCATTATCTTCTTAAGCCCATATTATACATTTGTGAGAGTCCCTTTATTTATTTTTTTTTTTTCACACACTCATTTTTATACCATTAAAAAATGTTCCTCATCCTGACAAATGTCACCCCAATTACGTGTAATTCTATTTTAATTTTATATTTTAACATAAAATATTATATTTTTAGTAATCAGATAACAATGAAACTAAGTCAACTAAAGACTTAGCCCTAAGTTTTCTATTCTTATTTGAGAGAATATTTCATTTAATCGATTATCTAATGTTAGAAATCAATCACAAAATGAAAGTTGGGTTAGCAAAGAATAATCTAGGGTGAAATTATTAGGCATTCTATTATAATGTGATTCCCTGGTTTTTCTGAAAACCCTATTTATGGTATGTATTTATGGTTTTAATAGTAATATTCTATACAAAAATTCTATCCTATTTTTTTTTAAAAATCTTATTTATTGTTACACATTTACTGTTATTAAAAATGTAATTAATTACCGTGACAGATGATTAGACAAATATCACATTAAAAAATATTTTTATAAAATTATTATCACTTAGATTCAATTTTAATTTTTTTTCTCAAAAACACTATTAAGAATGTACAAAAAAAAAAAAAAAAATTACTTTTAATTTTTTAATCTCATTTATTCTAAAATAACCGCTTTCCGGTACCTAGTTCCTATGAATTATTAGTAGTATTTATTAGTTTGCTGTTATCCGCTATGAATTACAAGAAGACAAAAGGTGGTGGTAATCCAGATTTGATTGCATGGCTTGTTATGATTGGTCAGACCATGGTCCATGGGACCTACCTAATAATTTATCCAATCCAACAGCATCCCACGTGAACAGATCACGCACATACTGTATAGTTTTTCTAATACAGTCCTTGTCTTCCTCATAAAGGGCAGCAAAAGAGGGCTGGTCTTATTTATTCCGCTGACCCATAAATTATTGAGTATTATTGATCAATCAGAAGCATTCACACACACAGAGAGAGAGGAATGGAAGCAGAAAGGAAGATTGGTGTTGCCGTTGATTTCTCTGGATGCAGCAAGAAAGCTCTCCAATGGGCGGTGAATAACGTTATCCGCAAAGGGGATCACCTTATCCTAATTACCATCCGCCCTGAAGCTTATTACGAGAGCGGCGAGATGCAGCTCTGGGAAACCACCGGTTCCCGTATGATTATCATTCCTTCTTCACTTTTTTTATCTATCTCTCTCTCTCTCTCTCTCTCTCTCTCTCTCTCTCTCTATATATATATATATATATATGTCTATGCATATCTGGATTTTATGAACTTTTTTACATTATGCAATTTAATCTGGGATCAAATCATCTTTGGTTGTTTTTGCGGAATCTAGAGGCAAATTTTGTTATCCTTTTTACTAGGTGTTGCTGAAATTTGGCTTAGATATGGTAATAGAACACCTATGGATATATACCTCCTTTTTTTTTTTTTTTTTTTTGGGTTAACCATAAAGAACCCCCAACGCAACTCAAACCCCAAACCCCAAACTAGCTAAGCTCCTGAGTTCGCTGGGCCATATCTGAAGTGGATCCTATGGATATATACTTGTTCACAAGAATTTCACAATTTATCAAAATGAAGCATGGATTAGTTTCCTTATTATATATTATTGGGATGCTGCATTTCAAGAAATGATATATGCAAATCAATTTTGATAACATTGCCTGCTCCAAAACTACAAACATATAAGACAGCCATATTGGAAATTTTGTGACATTGTTGACAAGTGAAACCTAATAATGACATTTTAGGATTAACTATTTTTTCTATGATTTCAATTATAAAACATTAATTTCATGCAACCGAATATAGCATAATTGTATTTTAATCTAACATGATAGAATGGCTCGAGTATGAAATAACATATCACTTTGTAAAAAATAATGACAAAGGTCAAGTTTGTTTTCACTTTCCCTTCCTAGCTTCTCGCATAGACTGGGCCAACATTGGGCACTGCCATTTAGGACAAGTTTTTTTTTTTTTTTTCCTCTCTGTTTTGAAGTCCGGGAAGGTATATTTATGTATGTGTGTTACCTGTTTTTTTTCGTGTTTGTGATATTTATTCATTACTTGCTGTTGGCAGCTTTAATCCCTTTGAGTGAGTTCTCTGACCCTGCGATCATGAAGAAATATGGGGTGAGCCCTGATCCTGAAACATTGGATATTGTCAATTGTGCTGCTAGGCAGAAAGAGGTTATCTTCTTCTTCTTCCTTAAATTCATGACGACATTAATTTTTTTTGAAGAAATGTGAAATTCTCTCTATAAAGTCAGTAATGTATGTTTATTATGTGTATATATTGTAAGCAGATTGTGGCGGTGATGAAGATTTACTGGGGAGATGCTCGGGAGAAGATCTGCGAAGCAGTTGATAAAATTCCTCTGAACTGCCTTGTCATAGGGAACAGAGGTCTTGGCACAATCAAGAGGTTTAACTCTTTCAGACCCCAACTTAATTCAATTTGTAACAGAATTGAGATTGGGATTTGATGATTTTAGGTTTTGTTTGGTTTTGCTTTTTGCAGGGCTATCTTGGGCAGTGTTAGCAACTATGTGGTGAATAATGCTTCCTGTCCCGTTACCGTTGTGAAGAGTCCGCACCATGAATAGTATTTGCGGCTGAGCCTGGATGGATTTCTTTCGTTAGTTGGACGACTCCTCCTCCTAATTCACATGGTATCAATGGATTTGTATCAATAATCAATCCTTCTATTTGTAATTTAACTTTGATGTTGGATGAGTAGTTAACTATAAACCGATGGAGTTTGTGTATATGTTGTTACTTATTATTCTACCCTCATCCACCATGGTGAGGTTTAAAATCTTATGCCCGGGGCTTGTCAAGGGCAAAGTCGGCCTGTGGTACCAATCCCATTTTTATGTGAAAGTGGAAGAAGAACGGATTTTTTAAAGAAAGTGAGAAAGAAATGTGAAAAAAGATTGGCTCAACAACTAAAAGAAATACGAGTCTGTTGATATACGTGCCACAGTGCCCATTGAAGTGGCACCCACCTTGGAAATGGGCACACTTGATCTTTGCTGACCTATCATATCTCTAAAAGGATCAAGTAGGCTCGAGCTACTTGCTCTGAAATTTGAATTCATTGATCGAGGAAGGGACCGTTACCCTTTATCTCCTGTGGACGCGCCCCGCTCCAGTCAGATGGGCCCCTCCTCCCTTTCTTTCCCGAGGTTACTTCACATAACCTCGGACATTCCTTAACAGAGCACTCCCTTGAACTGAAAGGGTCTCGAGGCGAGGGAAAGAACTCCACGGAGCTAAGAAGGCAGGACTTCGAGGAGAGTTCTTTTCTCATCTTCAGTATCGGGAGTCTGAGGACATATGAACAGGTGGTTCGGATCCAAGGACTCGCCTCTACTTAGGGTTAATACATGGGGGAAAGGGCATTTGATGCCTCTACTTAGGGTCAATACATGGGGGAAAGGGCATTTGATACCTTAGCTGGAGCTTTGAGTGAAGCGAAAGAAGCATTAATTATGGAGGAACATTTGATAAGACCCGCATTAATTTAGGAGCGCCATTACCTCTTTGGACCAAGGGGTAAAGTGCCGCGGCCTGCTGCCTGTCAATATCCCATCTATCAGAGGAAAAGACTCTGGAACCCATGGGTAAGAGAGGGCTACCTCTAAAGGCTTACGGGCATTGACCGAGGGTTGAACTCTATAAATAGGAGCATTAATTACTTTTTAAGGGGATCAACTACTACACTTAGACTCTCATTAATAACAGACTGGAGCTACTAGGGTATCAAAGTCAGCCTTCCCTTTCTCAATCTCTTATCTCAGAAAATCCCATGTATTGTTTGGATCTCCACTTGGATGCTGATATCAGTTCTTCCGACTTATGTAGAATAATCTCCTTATCCTACTAAGAAATATCATAAACAGAGTCTTTGGGAGCAATCCTGAATTTCGTTTGTGTGACACAGCCATGATTTTATCATAATGGGAGCAGAAATATTGAACTATCAAATAACATAACCTTCCAAGGGCGTAAAGTATGTGTAAGTGGGGGTGTGGATATTAGTTATTAATTTAAAAAATAAAAAATAACACATGTGTGTCATCGATTCAATGCTATAGATAAACTACGCAATACTATACAAATTTATACAAATAACTCCACATTAGTATAGAGAAGTCTAGAATGTTTTAGCTATATGCAAATTCTCCCTATCATCATCTGTTGTGTGCTTGTGTGGCGTCTCCCTATCAACACATGGTGTGCGCTTGCGTGCATCTACCGATCTACGTGGCTTAACCTTCCACGACGACAGGTCAAGGACAGTTCAATGAATGGCTAAGATATTCGTGTCTTAAGTGGCTTAACCTTCCACGACGATATATAATGTTAGATTACTCCAATACTCAATGGAAATGTTAGATTACTCTAATGGAAAGATAATTCTATACAATGTCGGATTACTCTCAATGCAGGCAATATACAATGCTAGATTACTCTAATCCTCTATTAATTAAAGATTCATTGGCAATAAATTTATTTTTTAAAATATGACAACTTGAGGTGACATTTTTGATCCGAGAAACTTCTCTATATTCACATCAATTCTGGCGATCTTATATAAAGTTAAGGATATGGGATCTATAGGTGAAATTTTCGAAAATGTGCTGCCAAATATGTAAAGAGATTTAGTTACAAATTGATAGAGCAAAAGCTTTCAGTAATTTCTACTGTGATGATAATTCAACAGTATTGCAGAAGACATTCGGAAACACTTAAGGTGCATATATATATATATATACACACACACACACACACACATATATATATATATATTTTTCATTTTACATCAATGTGTCATGATAATTGTTGCAGATCTCCCACAACTACTAATCTATCACACTTGCAGATATGCAAACTCTTTTCTCCCTTCAAACAGAATCTACCACAAGTAGAACAACTGATTTACCATACTTACAAATATGAATATTGCATATTTCTAAGCTTAATGTTATCAATACATGTAGTATGAGTAATAAGATATTACCGCATGTTCCATTTGGCACAGCATTTGTATACTCTTCCAAACTATGATGCACTAACACCGCCGTATCTAAGATCCATCCATGAAAACAGCACCATGACCATTAGCTTTCATGAACTTCTTTAATAGAAGAACGACTATAGCAATGGTAAGTCCAACAGCAGCCCATGTGAACAACCGATCATCAGCCGGCCTCTGAACCTTCGCTTCTGGCTTATGCAGAAGCTGCTCATTTGAGCGTCCAGCAGGAACTTGTTCTGACACACTCCCACCCTCAGAAATGGGATTTACATTCAAAGGAGCCTCATGCGGCTCGTCAACAATCCTGTCACCAACGCCTGGCCCCAGGAGCCCTTCACCAGCAGCTTCACCAACATTTTGGTGACTTGCCTGTGCTTCACGTTCTTCATTGGTGGAGTGTTCCTCAGGACTAAGTGAGGAGCTGAGCTGAGGAACTGGGGGTGCCTTGCTCAGCATATATTCATGAATCTGTAAAATGAAGTTGCCTGTTAGTCAGATACCTCCCTGGTACAAAGCAAATTTTTAGGAGAATTATACAGACCTCCTCAATTAGTTTTTGACGTTCAGCATTCCCGAATTTTGGGGCAGCTTCACGAGATTTGATTGCAAGAGCACGCCTCTCTTCCTTCTTATAGTCTAGTGAGCCCAGTGCGCCATTTGGATTGGTGGGCATAAATGCAATTAGAGCTACTAAAGCAGTTCGAACTGCAAAAGCCATAATACATCAACTGGGTGAAAACCATGGCCACAATGAACAAAATTACAGCATGGAAATTATCATAGAAATGCGATGCATGTGAAGTTCGTTTTTTGTTAAAAAAAATACCAACCAGCCAGCCAGCACAAGGCAAGTCAAACATGAACATAATTTTGACCTCCCCTCGGCCAATTAAAACCCTTCTGACTCATACTTTTGTTTTATATGTATGGTCAAACTATTATTTATAAGTTTTAAATAATTTTTAGCTGTTCATTGTTATGCTTGTATGCAAAATAATTTTTGTAGATAATATTAGAGGTAAATACCAAGAATCATGCCCATACAGGGTGCTATGAGGGAAAGACCGGAAACAGACAGAACCTTTTGACATTATTTTGTATGATGTGACTGCTATCAGATTTTACTCTGCTTCCCATATTTTTATTAATAATACATAAACCAGTAATTTGATTTCTCTAACAATTAAACTTATTTTCTTAAAGAAAGTTATATCTCAACATTCAAGATTTGTAGGTTGGAGTGTGCAGTAACTAGTAAGTAAATATACATGTGTCTAACATATAAACAATCACTTAAAAAGTGTCATTGCTAGTTAGAATTATACTAAATGGCCTTGGAAGCAACCACATTCAAATGCATGAACATCACTCGTGGCTAGGTCATCACTGTACTAAAAGTTATCTATAATGTCTCAATAAGAAAAAGAATTACCGCTCCATGATGGCTGCCAATGCTCAGGATGATGATTCGATATGCTTAAACATATCTTAGTCTGGGTTTCAAAACGACCATTCGGCTGAAAAAAGAGCAATGAAGCTAATTAGTATATAATAATAATATATTAAAAATGAAAGAAAAAAAGGATATAGAGCCCCAACATGAAGAAATTCATAACATCTCCCGTCAGCTATACAAATTCAAGTGATACGAGTTTCAAATAGAAAATGGAACATTACTGTCAGTAGCATAAATGAAGGCGGCTTGAATGGGTATTCTGCAGGTAATTGGATTCGTCCATGATAGATGCCTCCCTCAAACTCGGTTTCACCAGGTCCTCTGATTGCAAACTGCCATTCAAATATGTTCTCCTGACAACACAAATTATGGGCTTCATTTCTACAATAGACAATAAAAAAATTCATGCATAAAACTAATCAAAAGCTTAAATTAGAATATGTTTTGAGAGAGAGATTCCACATTTTGCTTAGTTCTCAATGAGGTAGATTGATACATAATATCATATGAATCAACTAAATTGATAAAATGAAGAAAAACAATTTAATTGGGATATTTAAGTACAAAAGGAAAAAGGAAAAAAAAAAGAGAGAGTCGAGCATAGTTGGTCAAGAATCTGTAATTATTGAAAATAAATTTGAATCTAACTATATGAAGGAGGATAACAGAACTGTAAAAAGGCTTAGATTTGGAAATCTGGTTCTAGTTCTGGCCTGATTTGTGGACATAGACAAGGGCGTTGAGCGCTAATGAAGACGTAGGATTACCCGAGGGCGTTGAGCGCTAATGAAGACGCAGGATTACCCGACAAATAATTCCCCCCCCCCCCCCCCCCCCCCCCCCCCCAACACCAAAAAAAAAAAAAAAAAAAAAAAAAAAACTCTCTCTCTCTTTCTATAACAAAAACAAAAAAATTAGGACACAGAGTAGTGACCATACACATGTAAACATGTCTTTTAAATGAACTTTCTAAATCCATGATCTTGTGCCATGCAGACCAAATATTAAGGGCACAGCCATATAAACTCAGGTTTGTGTCAACATGTATTGATATGCATATACGTGTGACACATTACTCACACAGTCCTGATATGCCCATGTCCATGTCCCTCAAATTTTAGGAAGCAAAGTCCATGCTCATGTAAGATTCTCATGCAACTAATTCATTACCACATTTAACTAAACTGACAAAAGTCCCTTTTTGTATTTCTTACTTGGTTGCTTGGATGCTGCTACATTTTAACCTGAGTAAAAAAGTTGAGTTTTTTGCTGAAGAGTGAGTATTTGGGGCCTCTTCCACCTTCCTCCCATTTGGTGACATTGACCTTCCCACCAATGTTGTTGATCATCTAGACAAGACTATACCACAGTAGCAGCCTAAAACTTCATCAACTGTGGAAATTACTTCTAGGCTTTTCCTAGAAAAAAATTTCTCCCTCTTTTTTCCAATCAGCTGCCTCAACAAAATATCTTAGCAGAACTTGTTGAAAGGATGCAGCTTCCGAGTTGTTCTCCTTAGGCGCTCCCTATAAACCAGGTTCAAGTTTACATTCTTCCCCATAATGCATGATTGGTCTTCTATTAACTACATACCATGAATGGTGAATCTAGGTATCTCAACTTCTTCCTCCAACGTATCGTCATGTCTCAAACTTAACTATCATCTATTCCCTTAAAAGGTGGGTTTACTAAAATGCATTAAGAACTTAATTTTGTACCCAGCCGGGCCAGCCCTTGGCAACTCAATATCCCTCCCTTAATCACCCCACACGCAAAGATCACAATAAACAATGAGAAGAGCCAGTTGGTAGGGTGATTGTCCACCTTTGAACATGTGGGTGAACTTCCACCTACAACTCATTACTTTATTCCTTAACGAATGCCGTCTATTACATTCTCGTAGAGATTTCATTCATTTCTTTAGCTGATTGAAGTGTGTATCGTAAGTCATGGCTAATGCCAAATCTTACAACTGTCAAAAGAGTTGCAACAGACATATGAAACGATAAGATGATAAACGGATAATTCCTAATCACTTGGGTGGACATCCAACTTTTTTTTTTACCATTGCAGGTGATCTTCCACCACCAATCAACACATATTTCTTAGTCATTGCCATAAGTATTATGTAAAGCATAAGCCCTTTAAATTTAAGCCCACCCAGTCATCAGTTGAAAATTTGATATGTGTATACATATTTCTTATACTTTTTTTTTTTATTTAGATAAAGCCTAGTCATATATATTGAAATCTAACTTAAAGCATATTTATCATGTAAAGCTTAACAACTAACGATTGCACAACTTGGACTTAGAGCTGAGAAGGAGGAACTGTACAAACTTTGGGGCTGACTTAAGATGAGAGGACAGTTACAACCCCACGCCCGCCCGCCCGCCAGTTCATCATCTCCCTTGAACAGGATTTCCTTCGCCTTAACAACTTCGATGAGACAGAAAACAATTTGCATTAAGACCATGGGCATTATCTAGTGGTCCTCAAAAATGAAAAAATAAAATAAAAAATTTGAAAACTATCAACACCATGATTTCCAGCAATTTCCAAGAAAACTGCTCCTCAAACAATAATTAAGAGTTAAAAACCTGGATTATATAATCAAAATAAGCTCATTTAATCAAATGAAAGAATATGAACAGAGAAAATTATTTGCAAATCTCACAAAACATGATCACCTAAATTGTAGGTACTTCCCAGATACATCCAGAAATTGAAATAGTAAATACATATAATTAAAAGTTGAACAATCCATCCAAGAACCCTGAAGATAGTTTCCACAGCTAATTTGATTCAATGTGAAATTAAGGAATGTAAAATTGAGATCCTGAATTAGAACCCTAAAGGATGAAATTGAATGGAATTACGAAGAGTTAAAAGTCGGGGTTATATATATATATATATATATATATAGAAAATAGAACCTCGAGAGGGAGGCTCATGAAATCATCGGAAGGATTTGACTGCATCTCCTTGACCTCCTGTAGAATCCTCTTCACAGCTGGATTCTTCAGGTTGTACTTGTCCTCCGCCATTTTCACGCTTTTACAATTACGCCGTCTCTTATATCGATTACACACACAATCAATTTCCACTCTATTTATATGTATATGTATAATCTAGACAAACGCGAGAGACGGGGATCAACAAGAGATACAAACATACAGAGTCACACACACATCTATGTATTTTTAGAGAGAGAAAAAGAGAGCTTGATGAGATTTTAACTCCACTACATTGGCTGTTGACCCGACACGTCATGAGAGCACACACTGTTTACGTGCCACCGATTCACCGGAATAAATAATTGGCAGAATAATACACTTACCTCCCTCAAAGTTAGGCCTAATTACACATAATACTCCTGACGTTTCAAAAATTACAATGACCTTAACTCCGGCATAACAGTTTGCCCCTTTTAGTAATAGTCAACCCTGGTCAATGACCTTTTTATACTAATGTCACCCCTTTTAAAGTATAAAATATCATATTTAGACTTTAAAAAATTATAAAGACATTTACACGCTAATTTTTAAATTAAAAATTACTATCACAAAAGAAATTACACTTCAAAACCTCATGCTTTGTAAACATGGTTAACTCTTTGTAAACATGGTTAACTCTTCTCTCTGTGTATACACACACATAATATACTGCTCGCTCTATATATATGTATATATGTATATAAATGTGTATATATATATTGGTCACACTACATGTCCCTCTCTCTTTTGATCTATATGTGTATATATACATATAACAGAGGTCAAAAAAAAAAAAAACGCACACACACACACACAACATGAAGAAGGGAAATTGGGGAAAATCAAACTGGAGATGAGATCATTCAATACACGTAGATCCAATTAAATGACACTAGGTAAATCACCAACAAAATTGGAATTAACTTCTCTATTTTAAACACAAGTGTAGGATTTTCAACGAGTTTTCTGATCGCAAAGTTGTCTCCGAACAACACGGCTCTGTCGAACCTCGTTAGACTCCAGATCTTGGTAGTGGTGAGGTTAGGGTAGAGAAGGGGCATATGATCGGCGTCTATGCTGCGGCGGCGATGACGACTATGGCCGTTGAGGTAGTGGTGAAGATGGTGGTTGTGTTGTGGTGCCGGTAGTGAAAATGGTGGCAAACGGTGATGATAGTTATGGCTGTCGCGTTTATAATATATTAGAGGATATGGTAGTAATTTAACCGGGAGAATTATTGGAATAAAATGCCGGTCAGTTTGGGGAAGGTTAGTGTAATTTTTAAAATATTAGGGACACCGCGTGTAATTAAGCCTAACATGAGGTAAGTGATATTATCCCAAAATGGCCCATCATAACTCTCCAGTCTCCATGAAAGATATTTACCGGGCTGGGCTTTCGTACCATTCGTTGGGTTAACTGGAAACCATTGGGCCCATCTCACTTGTTTCTCAGTTTTCATTTATCTGACTGGGCTGCAAATCAAGAGTTTGTGCCCAAAGTATTTCCCAACCTGGCCCAGAAATGTTCTCTGCATTAAATGAACTCTACCCCAGCCTGAAATAAGTTGGCACTGTACAAAACCTACCCTAATAGGCTATACTTTAGTCTCTGTTTTTTTTTTGGTCATATTCTTTGTATTATACTAAAATATTACTACAAAAGAAAAAAGAAAAAAATTACGAAATATTTGAGAATATTGAATCAACGTTTTAGATTTGAAATTGAAAAATTTTTGTACTTAGATAATATAATATTTAAATAAAAATTCTAAATTTTAAATTAGTAATTTCATTATAAAATGAGCAAAAGTTATTATATATATAGTAATATATTAAATTATTAATAATTAGTCAGCCTGGCGCAGTGGTAGCGTGGTGGGCCCATAACCCACCTGCCACAGGATTGAAACCTGTCTCTGACTTTTTTCATTTTTATTTTTTATTAATGTTGTTTTAACTTCGATCTCATTCAAACAACACTTCTATTGAAATTATGTATTTTTTATACAAGTTTTTTTTTTTTTTGGTTTCTTTCTTCCAAATATAAAATCAAACTGAATGTACTTAATATCTGCAAAAACTAGAGACATCCAAAATCATAAGTAAAATGTTAATTTAAGACAAGTCATTTTTATGCTGAAAGTTTCCTCACAGATTTGACTCTAAAGTCAATTTCGAATTGCTTGTAGTGATTGTGTAACCAAATTATTGTGATCTCTAAGTTAGCATCCATAGTGAGTTGATATTTTGTTTAAATCTTTTTTCTTTTTTTTCTTTTTTTTTGGTTTTACAGGTAAGCTTGTATAAATAATAAAGAGAGAATGTACAAAGAAAGGATGGAAACAAGAAAACAAAGGAGACAAGAACTGAGACTCACAACTTGAGCTCACTAACAATATAAAAGACTTGGGGATTGACAAAAATCAGACCAACAGTGAGGTAGGATATAGAGCCCTGCAACATGCTGTGTAAACTTCCGAACTTCAGCAGAAAATCTGCGCTTAAAGAAAATGTGATCCACGGATTCATTCGTTGAGAAATAGAGAAAGCAATGAATGATAACGTATAAAAATTTAACTTTGATTGGGGAATTTCAAAATTTTGTTTTCTAACCTTAAATATTCACATACTTTCAGTCTATGTTTTCTTTAAAAACTTTGAAAAAAGTCAAAATTTCAAATTTTCATAAAACTTTGAACAATTTTTTTTTTTTTTTTCAACTCCAATTGGTAACCACATTGGGACTGGTGAAAGCAATTGCCCCCACTAAAATTTTTACTTATTTATATTTTTTATATACGAAATTTGATAATTCTTAAATTGTCCTCATTGAACTTACAAAAGATTTACAAAAAAGTCTTAAAAACAGTAAAAATTCAAAAGGACTCCTGATCATTTTCTAACTCACGTATCCAATAAAATTTTCAAAATTCAAAAAAGACCCCTCCTTTACTATTTATTTTTTTAGTTCAAAATTTCTCAAACACATTATAATTAATGGCCTTAATGACGTTTCTACCCATAATATTCCATGCATTCTGATAGAAGAAAACATTGAAACCTTTTGGTCCTATTGCTTGTCGATGTTTAGTGAGAGAAAAAGGATTGGATTTCATGGTTTGAGGGGATTTCAGAAAAACTATCAAGCATGTGCAGTGGGAATGTCTTTGTGATCCATGGTAAGATATGTGATTTACTAAGAAAGCAGATGTTGTTTGTACCTAGGTAGTAGATTTTGGAAGTGGACAAAGAAAACATATTTAATTTGGGTATATCCTTGAATAATATTCCCATTTGGATCCGAGAGGGAAATAATTTTTCCCCTCTTATTTCTTACACTAATGGACTTGACCAAAAAGGAAGAATTGTTGTCACCCAGCTGAATCCATTTTACCTATACTTTTGTCTCAAGTTTTGTTTTTCAGTGCTCACCAGATTGGAATTAATAAACCTGTAAAAAACCTAATTCTTGTGATCTCAAGTTAGCATCCATAGGGTTGACATTTTGTATAAATCTTAATTTATTGTATGTTAACACTTTGAATAATTAATTTTCTAAGAATTTGTTTTTTATTTTATTTTTTAAAATTGTAATAACTTTTTATGTTTCGGAGTAATTTAATCTAAAAATAATTAAGATTACCTAAAATTTCTTATCCAAAATCTCTGTCCGAATTTCAAACACAAATTTAAAAATAAAACATCGATTAGGCTGAGGATGACTAGTTAGGATTGAAGGTTTGATTATAAATAAGTTAAATTGAACATTTCATATATCGGACTGGTCTCGAGTTTTACTTCCAACCCACCTAACTTATAAACCTAAATAAGAGTGTATGTGCACGCGTTTTTACTTTAATTCTCTCAAATCTTGTTTGTTTTTATGAAGTACAGTTTGTTTATCACTTTTAATTGTTTTGTTAATATTTATTTATATAGTATTAATTAAGAAGATAATTAATCTAGTCTAATTAGGGTTTGAGGCAACCAACTTTTTATTAGTACTCTAATTAAATTAGACCCTCCTTGCAGTGATCGAGTGTTTCATATGGTATCTACTAGTTTCTAATTATAATATTATGGTAAATAAACGTCTAACATGAGCGGATCAGTCAACAGGAGTCAAGGTGGAACTAAACCTCACATTTGTTTCTAATTTTTACTTCTAAAGCTGATAAACCAATCAAAAGTTCGCCTCGTAACAAATTGTCTTAGCTGGAATGTTTACTCAACAACACGCTCCCTTAATTGATCTTTCTGGAGATACCACCGTCACACACACACACACACACACACACACACACATGTGTGTATATGTATAACTAGCTTGGATTTCACGTTGCAGAAAGAAAAGATTTGATCAGTTTGCAGAGATCGGGTAGAGAGAGAGAGTAGCAGAGATCGGGTATAGAGAGAGGGAGAGAGATTAGCAGAGATCGGGTAGAGAGAGAACACATACGTACGAATACTTGTATGGAGAAAATGATGATGGACCATCTGTGTTCATCGTCGTTTGCATCAACATATGAATATCATCAAGAACAAGTTAATCATTCCAATTCGGAGAGCAACGTACAGCCGTTGAATGTTGTTAGCGCTGCTAATCTGAACTTCGATTCTTGGTATATATATATATATATATATATATATATACACACGTATACTGATCATTGTTTTAATTTCTTGATTTGGTATTGTTCAGGCAATATGCAGTTAGCAGAGGGGTATAGGTTTAGACCAACAGACCAAGAATTCGAAGAAGGTTAAGGGAGGAGAACTGCCATCTAATGCCGTTATTGACATGGATAGTATATCATATATTATTTAATTAATTAATTCTTTATATTGTACGTCTAATAGCACCCCTGGGCACCAAATTACAGTGCCACGCTTGTACACATTTTTTATATTTTCTTTTATAAAGATGTAAGATGATCCCTTTATGTATTATCTTTCACTAGATTAATTCTTGTGATTTAATTTTCTTAATGTATAGTATATTTTAATTATATCATGTATATGTTTGTTTAACAGATCATGATAGGAATATGTGTGATAAATATTACTTCGTAGAAAGAGAGAAGAAATTTGCAACGGGAAATGGTATAGTCCTAAAACGGACAGTTGAATGATACATCAGTGCAGGATGGTGGAGGCCAACAACAATAAATCTATTCAAGACAAGCTCGGCAATGTGTTATTGGTTTCGTGACGTCGT